AAAAAAAAAAAAAAATAGATTTACATATGTAATTTAACAAAAAGTTTTTCTGTTCTAATTACTGTTGCTTGGTTAACCACTAAGTATTAGTTTTTTAAGTCTACTTTGGATTGCACTGCATTTTTCGAAGATAGGTCAGTTTGCAAAAAAGTAACTGCTGCGATGTCATCAGTGGGCAAATGCTTCAGAGTCTATGGTGGTGATCAGGTTTGAAATTTCAAATTTAAATTTTCTCTTAATTTTTTTGGCTAGAAATTAATTTTCAGGTTATCTGACCTAATATTTACTTAAATTTAGAATTTTCAACTTGTCTTTTTTAATTATAAACTTCTTAAGTTTTGTAGACTAAATATTTTTTGGGGTTGTAGACAATGAAAAAAACGGAAACAGTAACATCAATCTTACTTAACGTATTCAATTTTATCCTAATAAGAAATATTTTCTTCAACGGCTGAATTACTGCAGTACAGATTTTAAAATAGATTTGTATGAAATTTTTTGCCAGTTTTTGTGATGTTGTTATCTAGGGTTCAGATTTAGGTAAAGGTTGTAATTATATCGGAAATACAATGAAAATATCAGATGACATTATTAGGAACTTAGCAGCATTTTTAGAAGCACTAAGTTTGGTTGAGATTGCGAACATGGAATAGGTAGGTGCACTTGAATATAAGCCGACATTACTGGAGTAACAGTAGCTCGTCCTTGGATTAAGAATGGATTAAGATTATTTTCATAGCACAGATGTAGCCAGATGGTGGAATATTTCATCAATGGCTTTTCTTAGAGCAAACTGAATTATACAACAAATTTCCAAAAAATATTAGTATATACCATATCAATTACTTTAGAAGTTTTTTTATTTATGAATAACATTTTATTTGGGTATCTAATAAAGTATTTCCTTTTTTTTTTGCAAAAAAGCTAGACTTTTAATTAAAAATCTAAAAAAATTAGAAATTAATGCAAAAATTTCTGTTACGCTTTTGAAATAAAATAAAATTTTTAAAAGCTACGCTAAACCAAACTTTCTGCACCGCTACGATTAATTTTTTTTAGCAAGGCAATGGGTACGGAAACGGAAAGCGTTTAATACTAAATGTACCCAGTCATTTGTATCACGCCGGTGTCAATAATATGATTAATGATGGATTAGCAGTTAAATTAGCTGAGAGAAACAGAGGAGCTGATCGTGATTTAACGTTTATACCGACAGGTATTTTGCTCGTGAACCTTTTTTTTTTTAAGAGTATTGCCTATAAAAAAAACTAAGCTGTCTTTGACGTCTTTAGGTGTACATGCTTTAATGCCACTATCAGCCACTCGCTATGAATTCATGAGCGATCCACCAAGATATATGTGCATTGAAAATGCTAACGATAACTACAGTAATCTTTGGTGTTACGAGGTTTCCACTTTATTTAACTTTGATTTTTTTAGTAGGCGTTTGGTCAAATTAGAAAGGTTAATTTGATCGGGTTTCATGTCAATTTTAATATAATTAATTACATAAAAAAACCAAAAAAAAAAGAAATATAATTTTTTTAAAGTGTCTGAAGCGTATGTGTAAAAGAACTTTTCAGTAATATAAAACCAACATTTTTCTGATACATCTAAATGAACTGCATAATTCTGCTTATTTTAGGTATGTTTAACACAGATCCCAGAAGATGTCTGTAATTGTTCTCTAGCGGCGTCAACTATTATGCGAAAAGATGCACTGTGTACATATAAACAATTCATTGAGTGCTTTGTTCCGACTATTCGAGCAAATGGTCCAGCAAAAATCATGAAAGTAAGATAGATTGAGAGTAACTTTGTAGATGACAGAAGTTGGAACAAAAAAACACTGAAGCATTATTTTTTAGCTGAAATTTATGACGGATCAACACACAGTGCTGTTATAGTTACAGAAATTAACAAAATTATAGCATATTAGATACCAAGCAAAACACTACATGAAAGTGTTTATAAATTCCATTTGCAGTGTACTCCTACTTATTTTAGCAAAGAAATTTAAAGTAACATTTCAAAATAATTAAAAATTTTGTCGTGGTTAAAATACAGTTAAAAAGCCATAACTAAACTATTAGATCTCTTTGTTTTACTTTCTTCTTCCTCTTCTCATCTTTACTATTCACTATGACAACAAAATTACAGAGGTGTAAGGAGAAGTGCAAAGCACCGTGTTCTTATTGGTCATATCAGAAAACCATAAGTTACGCTCGATTTCCAGCTGATCATCATCGTTACATGTTAAAAAATGACACCGAATGGGAAAATTTACATAACAAAATTATTCTTGAGGTTTACATAATTTTATTTTTTTTTAAGCTGTCACCTCATTTTTTTTTTTTTTTTGCAGTAAAAATTATCACTAATTATGCTATACGGTACAATAAAAACAACAAGAAAAACGCTAGATTTACCACTGCCAAGTATGAAACTTAATAAGGCTGGTTAAAAAGTCATAAAATTATGTAGTATTTATTATTCAACCTTCTAAAAATAAAAAAAAAGACAAGTTACCTCATAGATAATAATTTAGGTTTTTTATACGAGTTTGGATCATACAGTAATCAAACATTTAATTGCAATGACACCGAGTTCTTTCATCTCCCAAATTGGTGGTATGTATCTTACTAAGTGTCTTATCGCATAACCGAAATGATTATTTTTTTTTAGATAAATATGCTATGCAGTCGCATAACAATGTTTCTTTTTTAGGTCAACTATCGTTGTGGATTGGTGGATCTATCATATCCATACTTCAACTGCTAATATACTTTTTTCGAGGTTCATTGCATTATACGGCAAGAAAACTGTATAAGCAAAAAAATACAAACTGTGAAAAGGGTATAACACTGGCAAATCATAACAATTCTGTAACACCAAACGATACGCCTAGACCAAGCTCACAGAACTCTCAAGATTATGTTCTGGAAGGTGAAAGCGTTATTTTATAGCTTTTGCCTCTTGTGTTCTTTCCGGGTATTATTACGGGAAACAGTCCAGATTGACTGCACTGTACATTATGTATCATCAACTGTGGTTGTATGAATCATTTGGCATAAAAACAGTGTTCTAGAAGAGAAGAGATTTCTTTTATCTTAATGTAACTTTTCTTTTTCGTTTTTTAAACTTTATAAAATTTTATGAGCTTTCATTAAAGATTTTTTTACATGGTGCCCTAAGTGCTCAAAATGTTTGAGTGTTTTGATGTTTACTGATAATATGAATAATGTATTCCTCCATTTTTTTTGTTTTGCTACAGTTTTATACAGTATTATACAGTAAATGCCGTTATAGTTAATTCCTAATGCAGGCTAAACACATAAAATTCAATCGACTGCGATAGGTGTTGTTCAAACTTAACAATTGTAGTTGTCATTTCGGTATTCTAAAAAAAAAAAACAAAAACGAAGATTTTATACGTGGAAGTCGATACTTTGTAGAGAATTAACGGGTTTTCACTATTATATTATTAGCGTGACTTCTCATGTGTATTTTTAATTAAATAAACCTTCATCACTGGGGTGCTGTTGTCTTGTCTTTAGAAGTGTTTGCTTTCAATAAACGAATCTACAACCCTTTCAAACTCGAACTAGAAACATATTTCAATCCAGGATTCCTCAGCAATTGACACGTTCGTTCTGCACACCGCATCCACTAACACCGTATACTTTTGTACAGTTGTTGAGGCAGGTATGTGTAGGCGGATTCAATCCTAATTTCCACTGGGTGGGAAAACGTTTTTGGCTGGAACGATTCCAGCAGAATTGGCAGTGTGCCACTATGCTATATTAAAGCACCCAGAAGATACCGGAGAGACTCCGGGATGTTCTATCTGAGCCACCTAATCACACAGAATAAAGAATAAAAAAAAAATAAATTCAAGCTCAACAGTAAGCATATAAAACACAGGTCCCACCTCCTCAGCAGTCTCCACTTCCCTCTGAAATAGCAAGATTTTAAAAAAATTAGTATTTTTACCCCCTAAATGATTTTACCTATGTTAGGAAAACACTCCGTGAAACCTCTGTGCAAAAATAAAAACGGCATTGTCCATAGAAACCTGTACTCA